ACGGAAATTCTTCTTCCTGCCACGCGGCCGCTACACGTGTAAGCTCGAGCAGGAACACGCGGCACTCCTCTAATGTGTAGAGCCGGCTGTCGTCGAGGCGACAGAGGATATCCTTGCGCAGCACACTCATGTCGAAGTTGGTGATACGACCATTGGCGTCCAACTGCCAGCGGACGCACGGCTCGGAGCCTGTGGACCGTTTAGTGGCTGCTGCCGTTGCTGCTGTAGAAGGCCGCTGCTGTCGCCCCAAACGCGACGACGCCCGCGACTGCACAGTGCTCATAAAACTCATCAGCGCACTACGAGGGATGCCAACAGCCGCGCAGCTGGTCCGTACCCACTACTCAAGCAACTAATCAGTCAAGACGAAGAAGAAAACAGGAACAGTTAAGCAAAGATAGTGAGGGTACACAGAAAAAAAAAAAAAAGAGGAGTGCCACACACCTCAGCCGATCCATGTGTCAGAAGTGTACGCGATTAGCTTCTGTGGTTTCATGCNAAAAAAAAAAAAGAGGAGTGCCACACACCTCAGCCGATCCATGTGTCAGAAGTGTACGCGATTAGCTTCTGTGGTTTCATGCCCTATCCTCCATACAACACGGAACACCACGAGTGTTGCCATTACGCTGCTCACAAGGACAGGCAAACAAAGACACCGCCATGCAGGGGCATCTACAACAGAATCCATTCTTATCGCAGGGGTGTGTTGAGGCTTTGGCTTGCCAGTTGGATCGTCTTTGATGTCTCCGCTTGCCGACCGGCAACAGTGTCCACCACGCTACGGTCCGTCGTGATGCCGCTTGTGTGATGCACCGACACAACGCTGCCACCACGGACAAACAGCACCGTGTCGTAGCATTCTGTCTTTGAGCTCCCTGGACGCCGCTTTAACGGTCTAACGCGTTCCACATCGGTCAGGATCAAGTTCGATGCTGGACCAAGCGAGACGAGGCGGCCGATAAGTGTTGAGCCGTCGTCGAGCTCCACGTTTACGCGGTAGCCGAGGAATGAGAGGAGGTCTCGCCGTTCCGACTTTGTTGACATTGGCGCTGACCACCACAGCCACCGCTACCTTTTCTGTCACGCAAGAGAGAGAGAGATTAGAGCAGAGCAAAACCGAAGAACAAAAGAAAAAGAGAATGATATCCACCTCTTGAGGCTCAAACGTACCTGAACCACCGGAGGAAATGAAACAGAAAGAGGAGATACACGTACCGACTCTGAAGAAGAGCGGGGAGTGAAGAATCAAAAGCATTTTCACAAGGATGGGCTTCTGACTTGCAGAAAACGATGTTCAGCCACACATCCTTTGCTTCGCTCATCTTCTTCCTCTCATCCTTTCAGTCGCTTGGTGGAGGGCTAACCCTTTTAAAGCCTTGGCGCACGTGGGTGATGCGTGCGGGTGTAGTAACCAAAGCCCCGAAAAGCGAATGGAGGACAAATGAAGTGGACGCGATCGTTGAGTGGGGAAAGAAACGAATTATTTTCTCCCACTTTATTTTCGGACCTTCCTCCTCCCCTCCCCTCTCCTCTCCCCACTGCCAGCATGATTTACTCGTTGAGTCCAATAAAAACGCGTCTGCATCTGCACACCTCTTTCTCTTTTTCTCTCTCTCTCTCTCTCTCACTCCGAATGTGCATGTGTCTGTGTGTGTCTGCACCGAAAAACGTCAGTCCATCTTGTAGTCGTCGCGCTTGCGGCGCTTCTTGTCCACGAGGAAGGCCTCGCCGCTCTCCATTGCAATGTCCTCCTTGCGCTTCGGCGGGGCAGGCGGGAAGATAGACCTCTCCTTGTTGGCCTGCTTCTTGAGTGAGGCCTTCATTTGTTCCTTCTTGGCCTTCCGGACCGCCTTCACCTTTTCTTTCTTCTGGACACTCTTCTTGTAGACGGGGATGAAGCGACTCCAATCCTCGTGCTTCAGGTCCTCGCGCTTTGCCAACTCCCTCTTGATGAGCAGCTGCTTCAGTCCGTAGATGGGGTGGATGTTGTTCATGCAGTCATTGACGATCTTTCGTACCTGCTGGCATCCCTTCACAGGTCCCATCACTGCGACTGTTTTTCCCTGAACGAGGACATAGCAGCCGGTGAGAATCTCCAGTGCCTTGAGTGTCTGCGCCTTTGGGCCGACGAGGCGATCGCGCCGCTTAATGAAACGTCTCGTGCTGTTGCCCTTCATAGAGATGGGGATGATGTCGCACGTGATTTCCGTCTGGAAGATCTTCTGCGCCTGTGCAAGTGGGACATTCCGCGCAAGCAGTCGGATGAAGTCGCGCGCCTTCACCACGGCGTACGGGTCCCACGTCCGCCGCGTTGTCGCGACCGTCATGGAGCCCTCGACGAGGTCCAGCCGGCCGGCCAGCTGGTGTTGCGCCAGCAGCGCCTCTACGGCCGGCCAGACGCTGCGGATGTAGCGCTCGAGGTAGCTGGGGAACTGCGTTGCAAACGTCGTCTCGTCCACGCAGCACGCGCCGCCTGGCACGTCGTCCTGTACCAGCTCGGGCACACAATACTTGGAGGAAGATGACGCCATCAGAAACAGCAATCGCTTCGCTAGCGCACGCATAAGGAAAGACCAACACATAATCCAAAGAAACGAGGAACAAGCAACAGTACCAGCTTTATTTTTTTAATTATTTTTAAATCAACTTTGCACCACAAACCAAAACTCACAACAACAACAACAACGGATTACGCTACAAGGGGTTGCCCTGCGGAATATGTCTCATTTTTAACACATCCTCTAGAAGCAAATCCTTCCGCCTCCCTAACACCGCTAGGAAGAAGCCACAACGAAGGGACATGACGCACACAGAAGCATCTGCAAAAACACAAGAGCCATTCCAACTGTAATCGCCGTCATATCAGTATTCGTCATCATCGTCACCATAAGACGCAGCAAGCGAATTAGAACAAACCTTTTCACACCCTTCACGTAACCCTCCAAGCCAAAACTACATTTCCTGGCGCGGCTTGGGTTGCATAACTTGTAGGTACTCATTTACCGCAATCGGCATAGGCCCAGAGACCCGACCATGCATCTCACGGGATGGAATCATCGTGGGGACTTCAGGAAAGTTGGTGTTGTGATCAACTTCAACCGCCATGACGTTATGAGTAGAATCGTTTGACCAATCAATCACCTCACTATCTTTGTAGAGCTTGAGAGTATCACTCTTCAATGAGGCGAGGTTAGGCACAAAGCTGATTGGCTGAGAATTCCGATTCGTCATGGTCAGAAATGTCCGGAGAGCCTCACCCCATGTCGCTCCTTTAGGAAGAGCAATGTACACGATCTGGTTCCCGCTATTGACAATAACGGTGTATGGATACGATGAATGAATGTTTGTCTCCTGCGGATTCATCGTTTCGACTCGCTCGTTGTCCAATCTTCTTCGATCAATTTTCCTTTCTGGCACAAGGCGGGGGGGGGGG